AAAATTTCAAAACCCTCTTCTAGTCGTAAATAAAAATCAACGAATATCCGATAAACGATTCCAGTGATATTAACATCGAACTAATCAATAAATATAATTTTAGCTTCACTACCATTCCATCATATATTAAAGCATATGAAAACTTAATGATTTTGTGTTTGACTGCTTCATTTGGAAACGAAGTTTTTAACTTCGTTTTTTCATGAGATTGAATAACTTAATTTAGGACGTATTCTAAATTTTTCGCACATTTTAAATACTTTTATGAAAAGAAATTATACGAAAAAAGTTACAAACTTAATTACACCGATTTTCGAAAATACGTAAAACCCCCCTCCACACAGCACAGCAAAGCAGAATCCTCAAACACAAAAAAACCGTTCGAACGAAATAAAGCCAAAGCGAAAATTTTTGTTCGCTTTTTATAAAAGTCTTATTTACCTTTTAGCGTCGCCCCCGGATATCGCAAAAGTTAATTTTTGCCAGCCCGTCAAAGGAAGCCGTTTTTGATTTTTGTTTGTCCGTCTGTGCATCCGCCGCCCCCGACCTTGAAAAATCGAACGAAACCTTCTCACAACGAGACAAACACGATTTTCCCGAACAGCTTAGCTTTCCAATTTAGGGTGCAACAACCTAGTTTAAAACTCCGGGTTAAACCGGATTTGGATCAAAGATGGACGTCCCTCTTCTAAACCCCGAGACAGATGCAAACGCTTTCAGCAACACATTCAGCCCCCGAATTCGGGGGTAATAGTGACTTTGGAAGTTTCCGCCACGCTCGCACTAACAGCAATTTAATTAGAATTAACTTACGTTTACTCAGTTTTTCATTTGTCGAATTTTTTATTTTTTCGATTGTTCAGTTTCGCGATTCTTCAAATTTTGATTTAAACATTTTTGGATTTTTCTCTTTTTGAGGTTTTTTTTTTGTTTTTTTGATTTTTCGATTTGTCAACTTCTCGATTTAGCGATTTTTCGATTTTTCATTTTATCAAGTCGTCAATTATTCGATTTCTTAGTTTTTTGATTTTTCAATTAATCGATTTTATATATATATATTTTTGATTTCTCGGTTTTTCAATTTTTTGATTTCTCAATTTGCCGATGTTGCAGTTTCGGAAGTTTTCAGTTTTTCGATTCAATTATTTTTCAATATTGCAGTTTTCGGATTTTTCAAAATTCCAAGTCTTCAATTTTTCTATTTCGAGTTTTCAATTTGTCCATTTTTTTTTTAATTTTTCAATTTTTCATTTTCTCGATTTTTAATTTTACAATTCTTCAATTTTTGTTAGTTTTTTTTTTAATTTTTCGATGTTTCAATTTTGGGATTTTTCTGTTCTTCAATTTTTCGACTCGTTGATTTTCCGATTTTTCAATTTTTAAATTTAGATTTGTCAATTTTTCGATTTTTGATAGTTTAGTTTCCCGATTTTTCAATTTTTTAATTTTTTAATTTTAGATTTCTTGATTTCTCGATTTCTAGATTATTCGACTTTTCGATTCTTCGATATTTCTCTCTTTCAATTTTTTATTTTTCTATTTACTGAGTTTATACGATCATTCGAATATTTCAATTTTACATTTACGTATTTTTCAGTTTTTCAATTCCACCATTTTTTGAATGGATTTCTAGACTTCTCGGTTTTTGGCTTTTTAAAATTTTTAGACTTTTCGATTTTTCAGTTTTTCAACATTTCAATTTTGGTAATTTTTCAATTTCTAAATATTTTAATCTTTCGATTTTTTGATGTTTCGATTGCTCAATCTTTCGAGGAAAAAAGGCAGACATTCTCAATTCCTTAATAGATGCTTAACTTCGATTGTTTATGTTTATACTAGGAAAAAATTGGATCTTTTAATATTTCGTTTCTTCAGGTTTCAGTTTTATTTCTCTGTTTTTCGATATCCGAATTTTTGTCATTTCAGTTTTGGAATTTTTCAGTTTTTTGATTCAGAGTAAACGTTATTTAAATGTTAAAAAGTAACAGTTCTGAAATTGTGGTTGATGAATCTATGTTGAACTTTTATAACAATTTTTCGATTTCTCGATTTTTTAACTTTTGATTTTTAAATTTTTCTAATTTTCAGTTTCTCGATTTTCAATGTTTCGTTTACTCAGTTTTTTGATTCTCGCTGTTGGAATTTTTCATTTTTTCGATTGTTCAGTTTGTCGATACTTCAAATTTTGATTTTTAAATTTTTCGTTTTTTAAATTTTTGAGTTTTTTGCGATTTTTGAATTTTTCGATTTCTCAATTTTTGGGTTTTTTTGGTCGTTTGATGTATCGATTTTTCAATTTTTCAAGTCGTTGATTTTTGGATTGTTTTCAGTTTTTTGATTTTTCAGTTAATCGATTTTTTATATTTTTTATTTTTCCACTTCGATTTTTCGACTTTTCGATTTCTCGATTTTTCAATTTACCGATGTTTCAGTCTCTATTATTTTTCAAAACTTCAATTTTGGGATTTTTCAATAGTTCAACTCTTCAGTTTTCGATTTTTCGATTTCTCAATTTCTCGATGTTTCGATTTTTCAATTTTTTACATTATACAGTTTTTTAAAATCCCAATTTTTCGTTATTGCAGTTTTGGAATGTTTCAATTTCTGGAGTTTTCAGTTCTTCGATTCCACAATTTTCAGAGTTTTCACTTTTTCGATTTTTTGATGTTTTGATTTTTCCATTTATTTTTTGATTTTTATTATTCAAGTTTTCGGATCCTTAAATTGTAGATTTTCCAGTTTTTAATGTTTCAATTTTTCAATTTTTCACGTTTCTTTTATGCAATTTTTGGATTTTTCATTTTCTCAATTTCTCGATTTTTTGTTTTTTTGATCTTTTAATTTAACAATTTTTCGATTTTTCAGTTCTTCAAACAGCCAATTTTTCGATTTCTCAGTTTTTTTATTGTTCAGTGAATTGATTTTTTAAATATTTTTGATTTTTCCACTTCGATTTTTCAACTTTTCGATTTCTCGATTTTTCAGTTTTTTGATTTCTCAATTTACCCATGTTTCAGTTTCGGAAGTTTTCAGTTTTTCGATTCAATTATTATTCAATACTTCAGGTTTGGGATTTTTCGATATTTCGATTCTTCAGTTTTTCGATTTTCGAGTTTTTGAGTTCTCAATTTGTCCATCTTTTTTTTGATGTTTCGTTTCTCGATGCTTAAGTTTTTCAAATTTCCAATTTTACGATTTTTCGACTTTTCGCATTTTCGTTTTTTTGAGTCTTCAATTTTTGGATTTTTCAATTTTTGATTTTTTCGAATTCACGATTTTTTAATTCGATTTCTTGAGGTTTTTCGATTTTTAGACTTCTCGATTTTTCAAGTTTTCAATTTCTCAATTCTTCAACATTTCAGTTTCGGGAAGTTTCAATTTTCGATTTTTTGATGATTCAAGTTCGATTATTTTATACTTGGAAAAAATTACGCTATTAGCACGTTCAGATTACAACCATCAGCGTTTAAAAGAAAATAAAATATGACTGATTTTGATTCATAAACCACATGTGCAAAAGCACCTTATTTTATAGAATTTAAACAATATTTATTAGTGTAAATTTTGGAGATAATCCTAAAGTACATATAAAGTTTGACAACAATCCGTCCAGTAGTTTGAGAGATTATCTGTCTCATAAAAATTTTATATGATTTTTCATTGATCATAAATCTACGTGTCTGATTTATTCACCCGTTGACTATAATGTCACCATTATCTGAAAAAACAGAAGTCTGAAGTTTAAACTATTACCATATTTTCTGATTTTTCCGGAAATGACATCAACTTTTTTTTAAATAAAATACTTAATACGTAATACCTAACGATAACACATTATTTTTTTACTGGTTCCCCAAAGTTCCATTCATCTCAAGTTCACATTTACTGAATAGGAATTTTGGAGTCATTAATTGGCATGGAAAATTCTACAAAATGATTAAGTTATTGGCATTATTCAGGCTAATTTTTCCGCAAATGACGTCAACTTTTTTTTATTTTTGAACCTTTCAAAACCCTCATCTAGTCGTAAATAAAAATCAACGAATATTCGATAAACGATTCCAGTGATATTAACATCGTACTAATCAATAAATATAATTTTAGCTTCGCTACCATTCCATCATATATTCAAGCATATGAAAACTTAATGATTTTGTGTTTGACTGCTTCATTTGGAAACGAAGTTTTTAACTTCGTTTTTTCATGAGATTGGATAACTTAATTTTGGACGTATTTATAAATTTTTCGCACATTTTAAATACTTTAATAAAGAAATTATATGAAAAAAGTTACAAACTTAATTACACCGATTTTCGAAAATACGTAAAACCTCTCATCCACACAGCAAAGCAGAATCCTCAAACACAAAAAACCGTTCGAACGAAATAAAGCCAAAGCGAAAATTTTTGTTCGCTTTTTATAAAAGTCTTATTTACCTTTTAGCGTCGCCCCCGGATATCGCAAAAGTTAATTTTTGCCAGCCCGTCAAAGGAAGCCGTTTTTGATTTTTGTTTGTCCGTCTGTGCATCCGCCGCCCCCGACCTTGAAAAATCGAACGAAACCTTCTCACAACGAGACAAACACGATTTTCCCGAACAGCTTAGCTTTCCAATTTAGGGTGCAACAACCTAGTTTAAAACTCCGGGTTAAACCGGATTTGGATCAAAGATGGACGTCCCTCTTCTAAACCCCGAGACAGATGCAAACGCTTTCAGCAACACATTCAGCCCCCGAATTCGGGGGATAATAGTGACTTTGGAAGTTTCCGCCACGCTCGCACTAACAGCAATTTAATTAGAATTAACTCGGATAATTTTACTTCGGTGTGTTATGTAACGTAATGATTAGTAAATATTTTCGGACTAATTAGTTACAACTCCGATAATTAGCTAAAAGCAACGAGAAAAACTCGTTTCGGGTTGTTAATGTTGTGCGTTAATGTGGTCAAGTTTTGCCCCCGGCGGCTAGCCGCCCCCGCCCAAAAATGCAAGCAAACTTACTTACATCTCCTCAGAAGTCCGAAAGCGGCCACCGAAAAGCCCACTTGTCCCAAGTAAATACCGCCGAGTTAATATCTTCTAACCGCGTCGAACTTACGTAAACTGCCACCGGACGGCACAGCACTCGTCCCGCCGCCAATTTCGGCCGAACTCCCGCCAAAGTCGGAGGAAATGTGCTTTTATCCCTCTCAGCGCGCGAAAGCTCGGCGCAAGTTCGCAGAAGGCCGACGCAACACACCGGATACTACTTAAGCTTTCCGAGAGATAAAAACGCTTTAGTGCTTTTGTCAGTTTTGTTTCCTCCGAAACATTGATTTGGCATTAAGGGAAATGCTTTACCGACAGTACTTGGACGGCAAACAGGGATTTGCGGAGATGCCGCGGACCGCAATTAATCACGATTTTTTTCATATCGGGATTCGCTCTTTCGCAAGGTTTTTGCTGATGGGTTTGGAGATTGCGAGCTAAGAGATAATTTTTTTAATAATGGACTATTAGTAACACTCTGTCTGCGGTCGGGGCGATTGCTCGAGGCGGGCGATTGATCTAATAAAAAGCAAACGGAAGGTTTAAATGGAGAGGGATGGGGAGTTTACCGATACGCTCAAATACCTGATCTCTACAAATATTTTATGTCGGTGTCTGTTCTTTACTATAAGACGTTTTTTTAGAGCAGGTTTGGGATTTTTTTTCTGGTGTGGAAAAAATTGTCTGTGAACCTCGAACTTAAAGTATGACACTAAATAACGATATTACGTTCACAACATAAATACAGTTTCGATTTTTCAGTGCTTTTATTTCTCGGAACCCAATGTGGTGCTCCTGAAGGTATGTCAATAGCAAATTACATTACGGAAAATGGAAATTTGTTGAACGTTTTCCCGAAGGGATTCAGAGGTAAATAAATTTGTTTCTGATCTAAAGATAACTAAATTTAAAGGAATGTATGGGTCATTTTGTGACGCTTTACAATAATTTTTTCAAAATAAAGCTAGGGATATTTTGCCTATTACTCACCACATTTTTTATAAACTTGTTAATTTTTTCAAAAATTTAAACTTGACAATGTTATTATTCTTTTCTCAGGATCACGAATCTGTCCTTCTTTTCGCAATATCTTTTCAAATGACGGAGAAAAATTTGTTTATAAGAAAAAAATACCACATTTTCTTCAAAACCGGTCATTTATTTTCGTTCAAGTCTGTGTTTGTTCCGTTATCCATTTTAGATGCCAAAATTTCTAAAGAAAATCCTAAATTCTTGTAATTTACACACATTCTGAAAGAATTTTCAACAGATTTTTGTAATAAATAATTTTAAAATAAATTTTAATCCCGGCGCCTCCAACATTTTTATCAAAAATTTAAACTTGACGAAACGAGCTCACAATGTCCATTTACTTGAAGCGTTTCTCCATAAAAGCAAAAAATACCATTTAAAAAATAGGTGTCTGATTTATTCACCTGTTCATTATGTCTCCATTATTTGAAAACATAGAAGTCTGAAATTTCAAAATAACAAAAATTTTTTTTATGTAATATTATTATTTCGATGTCCCAATTTTTCGTCATTTCAATTTTGAAAATTTTCAGTTTTTCGATTCAGACTAACAAAATAACGTAGTTCTGAACTTGCGGTTGATTAATCTGTTTTGAATTTTTATAACAATTTTTCGATTTTTCGATATTTGAATTGGGCCTTTTAATTTTTTTTGTTCAATTTTTCGATTTTTCAATTTCTGACGTTTCTTTTTTTGTGATTTTTGGATTTTTCGATGTCTCAATTTCCCGATTAATCGATTTTTTGGTTTTTTGATATTTTGATTTCTCGACTTCCCGATTTAGCGATTTTTCCGGTTTTCAGTTTTTCAAGTCGATTTTTCGATTGTTCAGTTTTTTGATTTTTCAATTAAGTGATTTTTATATTTTTGGTTGTTCGACTTCGATTTTCCGAATTCTCCATTTTTCAACTTACCGATTCCTTAAACTCTGATTTTAAAATTTTTTGATTTTTCAGTTTTTGAATTTTTGACGTTTCTTTTTTTAGATTTTTCGATTTCTAAATTTCTCGATTGCCTAATCGATTTTTTTGGTTTTTGGTTTTTTGATTTCTCGACTTTTCAATTCAGGAATTTTTCATTTTCAGTTTTTTCAAGTCGTCAATTTTACGATTTCTCAGATTTTGATTTTTCAATTAATAGCTTTTTCAAATTTTTGATTTCTCAATTTACCGATGTTTCAGTTTCGGAAGTTTTCAGTTTTTCAATTCTTCAAGTATTTCTCATTCGCTTGTGGAATTTTTCAATATTTCGAATCTTCAACTTTTCGATTTACAAATTTTCGACTTTTCCCATTTCTGGATTTTTTACTTTTCCGATTTTTTAATTTAAAATTTTTCAATTTTTCAATTTCTCGATTTTTAATTTTACAATTCTTCAATGTTTGTTCGTTTTTTCAATTCCTTAGTAAATAACTGTTTTCGGCTTCTCGATATTTGAATTTTTCAATATTTCAGTTTTGGATCTTTTCATTTTTTTCGTTCAATTTTTCGATTTTTCAATTTCTGACGTTTCTTTTTTTTTGATTTTTGGATTTTTCGATGTCTCAATTTCCCGATTAATCGATTTTTTGGTTTTTTGATATTTTTCCAGTTTTCAATTTTTCAAGTCAATTTTTCGATTTTTCAGTTTTTTGATTTATCAATTAATCGATTTTTTATATTTTTGGTTTTTCGATTCTCCGTATTCTCCATTTTTCAACTTACCGATCTTTCAATTTCGGAAATTTTCAGTTTTTCCATTCTTCAGTTTCTCGATTCTTTAAATTCTGTTTTTAAAATTTTTTGATTTTTCACTTTTTCAATTTTTGACGTTTTACGATTTTTAGATTTTTCGATTTCTAAATTTCTCGATTACCTAATAGATTTTTTGATTTCTCAGTTTTTTGATTGTTCAATTAATAGATTTTTAAAATTTTTGATTTCTCAATTTACCGATGTTTCAGTTTCGGAAGTTTTGAGTTTTTCAATTCTTCAAGTATTTTTCATTCGGTTGTGGAATTTTTCAATATTTCGAATCTTCAATTTTTCGATTTACAAGTTTTCGACTTTTCCCATTTCTGGATTTTTTTCTTTTCCGATTTTTGAATTTAAACTTTTTCTATTTTTCAATTTCCCGATTTTTAATTTTACAATTCTTCAATGTTTGTTCGTTTTCTCAATTCCTCAGTTAATGCTTAACTTCGACTGTTCATGTTTATCCTAGGAAAGAATTCGATCTTTTATTGTTTCATTTCTCCAGGTTCCAGTTTTTTAATTTTTCGATGCTTCGATCTCTCTATTTCTCCGTTATTCGATTTTTCCATTTTTTAATTTTCAATATTCCAATTTTTATTTCAGTTTTGGAAATTTATCGATTTTTCGATTTCTCGAATTTTCAATTTTTGGATTTCTCAAATTACCGATGTTTCAGTTTTTCGATTCTTCAAGTATTTTTCAATATTTCGGTTTGGGATTTTTAAAATAAAAAATTATAAATTTGTATTCCGGCGCCTCCAAAGTTTTTATTAAAAATTTAAACTTGACGAAATGAGCAAATATTGTTATCATTCTTTTCCGAAATTTTCTCAGGATCACGAATCTGTCCCTCGTTTCGCAATATCTTTTCAAATAACCGAAAAAAATATGTTTATAAGGAAAAAATACCACATTTTTCTCAAAACCGGTCATTTATTTTCCTTCAAGTCTATGTTCGTCCCGTTATCTATTTCAGATGTCATAATATCGAAAGAAAATCATAATTTATTTTAATATACACAATTTGGGAAAGGAGTTCCTACAGATTTTTGTAATAAATAAATTTAAAATAAATTTTCATCCCGGCACCTCCACCATTTTTATCAAAAATTTAAACTTGCCGAAATGAGCTCATACTGTTATCATTCTTTTCCGAAATTTTTTCAGGATCACGAATCTGTCCTTCTTTTCGCAATATCTTTTCAAATAACCGAGAAAAATATGTTTATAAGGAAAAAAATACCACATTTTTCTCAAAACCGGTCATTTATTTTCCTTCAAGTCTACGTTCGTCCCGTTATCTATTTCAGATATAAAAATCTCGAAAGAAAATCATAATTTATTTTAATATGCACAATTTCCGAAAGGTGTTCCTACAGATTTTTTTAATAAATAAATATAAAATAAATTTTCATCCCGGCGCCTCCACCACTTTTATCAAAACTTTAAACTTGACGAAATGAGCTCATATTGCTTTCATTCCCTTCCGAAATTTTCTCTGGAAAACGAATATGTCCTTCTTTTCGCAATATCTTTTCAAATAACCGAGAAAAATATGTTCATAAGAAAAAAAATACCACATTTTTCTGAAAACCGGTCATTTATTTTCCTTCAAGTCTATGTTCGTCCCGTTATCTATTTCTGATATCAAAATATCGAAAGAAAATCATAATTTATTTTAATATACACAATTTCCGGAAGGAGTTCCTACAGATTTTTGTAATAAATAAACTTAAAATAAATTTTCATCCCGGCGCCTCCACCATTTTTGTCAAAAATTTAAACTTGACTAAATGAGCTCATATTGTTATCATTCTTTTCCGAAATTTTCTCAGGATCACGAATTTGTCCTTCTTTTCGCAATATCTTTTCAAATAACCGAGAAAAATATGTTTATAAGGGAAAAAATACCACATTTTTCTCAAAAACGGTCATTTATTTTCCTTCAAGTCTATGTTTGTCACGTTATCTATTTGAGATATCAAAATTTCGAAAGAAAATCATAATTTCTTTTAATATACACAATTTCCGAAAGGAGTTCTTACGGATTTTTGTAATAAATAATTTTAAAATAAATTTTTATCCCGGCGCCTCCACCATTTTTCTCAAAAATTTAAACTTGACGAAATGAGCTCATATTGTTATCATTCTTTTCCGAAATTTTCTCAGGATCACGAATCTGTCCTTCTTTTCAAAATATATTTTCAAATAACCGAGAAAAATATACTTATAAGGAAAAAAATACCACATTTTTCTATAAAACGGTCATTTATTTTCCTTCAAGTTTATGTGCGTCCCGTTATCTATTTGAGATATCAAAATTTCGAAAGAAAATCATAATTTGTT